TTCTTATCATAAGGTAACCAAATTTTAAGTATTTGTCTTACATAAACTAGAAAGTTTTTCTTTCATAGTTTGTTGCAAAAAAGGATCAATAATTATCTCTTTATAGGATGAGAGCTCAAAGAGACAATGAATAAAAGCTGAAAAGAAAGTAAATGAGGAAGAATAACAAGAATAAGCAAAATCTGGTAGCTTTATAAACTTACAAATGCATGTGGATTGATGTAGAGGTAGATTCACAATGTCAAATGAAGCTTAAAGGAGTGTAGATGAGAATAGAGCTTCAGGTAAAGTAAAATATGTAGAATGATGAGTACAAATCGGTCGAATATGGAGAGGGGTATCCAAGGTACTAGGAACTTAAGATGATAAACTGTCAGAATCCTTAGAAAAAAGATCTATATGAATAAGATTAAATCTAATCAAGCTATAAGTAGTGGATGGAATAGAAAATAAAGGTATATGCTCGAGAAAGACAACATGATGAGACACATAAACTTTATGAGTTATTGGATCAAAATAACGATACATTTTTTTACCTTCATCATAACTAAGAAAGACATAAATAGAAGATTCAAAAGACAACTTATTGTGTTCCACATAAGAATATGCTCGAGAAAGACAACATGATGAGACACATAAACTTTATGAGTTATTGGATCAAAATAACGATACATTTTTTTACCTTCATCATAACTAAGAAAGACATAAATAGAAGATTCAAAAGACAACTTATTGTGTTCCACATAAGAATGAAGAACGAAACAAGTACACCAAAAACTCTAAAGGAGAAATAATCATAGGCAAACCCATACAACATTTTGAGAGGAGAAAAACCTGAAATATGAGAAGATGGAATTGTATTAATCAAATTTACAGAAGTAAGAATAGTATCTCCTCAAAACTCATTATAAATAGAAGCAGACAACAAAAGAGAACATGCAGTTTTGACAATGTGCGTATGTTTTCTTTCAAAAACTTCATTTTGGTTAGGAGTATTTCCACATGATATTTGGTGAATTGTTCCATCTAAGGCAAGCAACTCACAAAATTTATTAGAAGATTATTCGCCACCTAGAATATTTAATAATAGTAGAATATTGAGTTTTAACAGAAGCTCGAAAGGCTTTATATATCTTAAAGAATTTAGAATGATATTTCATTAAATAAACCCAATAATAATAAGTATGATTATAATAAAAGAAACATAATATCGAGACATTTCTTTTATGGCAATAGAAAAAGGTCCCCATACATCAAAATGAATTAATTCAAATGGGAAAGAAAAAACATAAATACTTCAATTAAAAAGTAAAGCGAAAAATTTCACCAGTTTACATCCACTATAATCAGAAATATCACAAGTTTGTAAATTTTCTAAAGCTTTTGTGGATGCCAAAAATCTCAAATGAGAAGACAAAACATGACCTAGACAAGAATTCCATAAATAAAAACTAGACAAGGAAAAACTAAAACAGAAAGAAGATAAATCAACACTAGTAGTAGCAGCAACAACTAGCACCTTTAACTTATCCAAAATATATAGTATGTTCTCCCTACGGCTTGTCCCAATCAGCTTCTGAGATTGTACATCCTGTACATATTAAAAAAAAAGGAAAAATAACTAAATAATCATCAGAATCACATAACTGACCAACAAAAGCAAGATTCAATATAAGCTTTAGAATAAAATAAACATTAGGGAGAGACAAGTGAGGTGTGATAATAGAACCAATGCCTACTAAAAGCATGAGAGTGTCATTAGCAGTCATAATAGGAATAGAAGGCGAAAATGACATATAAATAAAAGATGAAGAATTTGCAGACATATGATATAAAGCACTAGAATCCAAGACCTATTTAGAATGTGACATACTTGAGGAACTATGAGGAAAATAACCTACAAAAAAGAAGCGGACAATGCTTATAGTTGTAAAGGGAGAAAATTCTAAAATCACTCAACCAAAATACTAGGATCGGTGATAGAGCCTAATAAAACTACTGTTGCAGTATTGTGGTGTGGTGTGGTGTGGTGTGGTGGTTTATAACCTTGAGCTGGTTTGTGAGCATTAGATTATGATTAGCTGTCAAGCTTCCAAACTTAATTTTATTGTCTCACTTTAGAACACGAAGCCTTCTAATAACCTTTCTGCTTGCAATAACTACACTCGTTGAAGGCGACCCTTGTTTAAGGCTTGCTCTAATGATCGGAGAATAGCTTAGAGGGTACTGGTAGCACAGAAGAATTCAAAGCATAAAGAATTTTATTTTCAGAATAAGACTGAAAATGTATTTCTTCAGCTAATAACTCACTAACAACAAAGTCAATAGAAGGTAATGGAGAATGATGCAAAATTGAACCTTGAAGTTCTTCAAAATCAATATAAAATGTTGTTAGAAACTGTATTAATCGTTATTGCTCTCTACAATCAATATAGACACCACATACCTTTAATTCTACCAATTTTATAAAAGCTAATTGATCTCAAAGATCTGTTATAATAAAATAAAATGCCTAAATACTTATATTCTTCTAGCGAAGAGCTTGCATGTTATTCTCTAAATGATACTGTTTTGTAAAATTTAATTGCGTGAATAACTTTTGTAGATAATATCAAATCTCCTTTATTGTCTCATACTTTGCCAACTGCATACAAATGGAATACTCAATAGAATTTTTAATCCAAGTAATAATATTTGCATGGTTTGTTTCTCATGCATCTGTCAAAGCAATATCCCCCTCCTTAATATTCGTAAGTATCACATAATTTATACTAACATATCCCCATATCTTTTTACCATTAAGGAGATTTCTCATTACATAACCTCAATACGAATAGCTCTTTCCATCCAATCTCACAATCATAGACTGAAGTGAATTATCTTTTTTAGTAGCAATAATCATCAAACAAAGAAAACCAACACGTAAAACCAGTGAAAAACAAAATACCAAATTGCAGAAACTGAATATACATCTTCTCAAAGTTATACGATTACTCCAAAAAAAATTGCAGAAACAAAACACAAATACTAAATTGTAGAAACTAAAGAAAAGATGAAATACCATATTTCTAGAAACTGAACAAATATCACTCCAAAAAAATTAACACAAAACTAGTTGTTACCAATTGGATCCGCGAAAGCTATGTTTGAGATTAAATCTTACTCTATAAAACCAACTCTGATATCATGTTAAAGCAATCAAAATTTACACAACAAAAATACTAGCATAAAAGAGGAGATAAAAGAGAAGACTAGGATTTTCATTGATCACTTTATTTTAAAGTTATTGTTTTAACATAAATACAAAAACATTCTATATAAGCTAAATTCAAATTATTATTTTACCCTTAACAAATAAAATAAATAAATTTCTCAACAACCAAAACCCTAACTTAGGTCTCATCTTCCTTAACTCTCTTTCCATCTCTTCTTCGTCAAACGAAAAACCTCATCTCTAATCACCTCAGTTTGTAATTTTATAGTTTCTAGAGGAACTCACCCAAAAGAATTAACAAAGAAATATAGCTGATTCTAGAATTTTTTTTATAAAAAAACCCTCTTGCTTTCCTTGGTGTCTAGAAAATTACATGTTTCAAAACCAACTAGTTTAATCCAGAGAACCAACCTGCAGAAACAAATACATTTATTGATTTACACCGATGTCTCGAAAATCAACAGTTTTAACATCATCTTGCTGAGTGAAACAGCTTGCAAAATTGCAAATTCCATCAAATACAAATATATTTCATCCTTTTTAGTGCTCTTCCATGCCTAGTCCTGCTTCCTTTTCATATATAAAGGAGCATCAAATAAGACATGCAAGTTATACAATATACAGAACTGGGCATGTGAAGTTAGTGCTAATTTCACTAGCAGCTTTGTCCAGTAAGAGAAAAACTATGCCCAGCATCATTCAACAGAAAAGGTTTGTGGAGGACTTCAGTTTCACAATACTTAAGTATTATTCAATTGATGATCATTTTGTATAGATCTACTTATTGCATGAACAATTCAAATATATGGTAGAGCCTAGTGATGGAAAAACAACAAAATCCTCGAGCAAAAAGTTGTATCTTGTGATGGTTTGATATTTATATTTTATATAAGTTTGATTTGATAGAAACTCAAGAGTTTTTATTGGAATATATCTAGAATTGTTTTTCTCAATATCTTAATGTAAAGAAAGATATATTTTGATAAAAAAAAATTTAAAAATATATCCTTTTAATTTTTTGCAATGAACAATTAATATGAGGTATGTCTATTTAAAAATTCTTTAAAAAATGTAAATTTTATGTCTTTTAAATAAATATAAGGGTGCTTGTAACAAAAAGAAATGATTTGTGTAACAAAAACAATTTATAAACTAGAATTGCTAATTTAATTTATTTTCACATGTATTTCAATAATATATTTGAATTGAATTATGTGATTTAATCTTTTATTTTAAATATAAAAATCCTAACGGATTATTAATTAAATTTAAATTTATTTAGAAATTAAATTCAATTTAACATGTAATTTAATTTAGGTGGTAACCTCCCTCACTCAACAAATTACAGTACTTCTAGACTAAATATCAAAATTCTTATATATATATATGTGTGTGTGTGAAGTTAACATAACCTCAAATGTAACAAAGAATTGAATCTTATAAAAACACAGCATCTTAAATTATTTTTATTTTCAATTAAAATACAATTTTAATGAAAATTAATGTTAGTAAACAAAAAAATAATAATTAACCATCTTCAAATTTAATGGTGTGTCAAGATCTTTTAAAACAAAACAATGGAGTTCTTAAAATTAACGGTAACGATTGTTGGCTTTACATTCTTGTACTTAAGAAAATAAAATAAAAAGGTCATAGCAATCAAGTAAAAGAAGTGGTGTTGGATTTCGATAAATTTTTTTTTTTTTTTAGAAGGCGGTTGGTTCCCGCCAAAAAAGGTGCGATGAAAGGAGCCGGGAGAGCGGTGTCTGTCACGCCCAGAGCCACCGTTTTAAACTCACGGGTCCCTTTTAGGTCCCTCCCTCGCCACGTGTTCTTTGGATCACCGTCTCTCGCCACGTAACCCTCCCATCTTCTTCCACCGGGCTTCTCCAAAGCAGCAGCTCCCTTTCTCTAAATTAATCCATATATATTACTATGATTTTTCCCTTTATTATTAGGCTTAGCTAGTCTTATTGAATTCATCAAAGAGGACCTTCAGCTAGCCAGCTCATGAAGGTTCCCGTTGGGTTTCTGGCTACCCTTTGGAGCTTCTTCTCCTTCTTGCCCTTCTTCTTCTTCCTCCTCATCCTTGGCCTTGCCAAAGGTATATCATGTTTTTTAGAAATTCTCCATGTTTTACCAGCCAAATAATCAATGGGGTGCATGGTTTTTTCAGTGGAGAATTTCTAGGAGGGTTGTTGGTAGTAGCTATGGCTTGTGAGTCTGTGTTGCTAAAATTCTTTTTTTGTACACAGCTGCGATAATTGGTCCAATCGCCCTGGGGATTATTGTGATCGGTAATTCAGCTGTGATCATTGGTCTTTGGATAGCCCATTTCTTGTACACTTACTATTGTGTGGCAAGGTATATATACATATGCTTCTATTGAAGTTCATATTTGCTTTTGTTCTTGTAATTTGATTCGGTATTCGTTTACAATTGTAGAACCAAGAGGCTTGGTATTGTCCTGAAGATTGCGGTGCTTTTGCTCTTGCCTGTGCCCATGGTCCTTTGGCCAGTCATTGGAATTGGCGGAAGCGTTTTGGGTGGCATTGGATACGGGTTTTTTGCTCCTCTTCTTGCAACTTTTGAGGCTGTCGGGGAGAATGTCAAGGACAAATTCTACCACTGTTTTGCTGTGAGACTCTCTCTCTCTTTCTTGGCACTGTTTATGTTTCACCGCAAGTATAGTTCTGAATGTTCACTGTTTTGCTGTGAGTCTCTCTCTGTCTTGGCCTTCTTTTCTGTGCCCAAACGAACCATATGACTGCAGCAAAAATGATGACATGATACCCATTGAACTGTACTGATTCTGGTTGGCTTACATAAGATTTGAGATTGCAAATGGAAACATCAGATGAAGTTAAGAGCTGAATATTCGTATGGCATGGTTCAGTATGCCTTGGTCTTGGGGTTATTTCTGATTTTATTTACAGAGATAGTCGGAATTCTTGCTTCTGCAAGTCCTTGTTAATTGTTTCCTAGCCTCCTTAGAACATGATTCTAATATCTGAAGAAGCGTGTTTAACTGGTGTCTCTGCAGTATCATTTTTTTCTCCGAATTGCTGTATAATGTTTGCTTTCAGATGCAATCCTAGAACACTTTCTGACATCTGGATTCTGCTTTTGTCACGAGCTTCGCACCCAAGTAGTCATAAAGCATTGCCCAGTGATTGTCGAAACAACATTCCAGTGTTCTAAGATGCATGTTGGACCAATGTCCTCAAGGAGAAGTGAACATTCAGGCCTCTTAACCTTCTAAGTTCATTCTGTTTTCTCGCTACCATTTTATGGCTTTGAATTGTTAAAACCAGGTTAAACTTCTACATTCTCATATTTGCATTTTATATTATCTTGAGGTAAGATATTTCGGTCTCTCATATCTACATTGCTCCATGGATCTCGCATGCTAGCTCTGCGCATTTGAGCATCAAAATCATAAGGGTAGCGAAGCAGGATTAAAATGCCCATTTTTATCACTTTATCGGGATAAGCCTTCAGTAGAGTGATTTTATTGAAATTTGGCTTCCGCTTGAATTTCCTTCCACCAGGATGGTTGCTTGGCCACTATCAAAGGTACCTGCACAGTAGTGTGCGATTTTACAGATTTTTGCTTCCATTCTTACTTCTCTTACATGGATGAACTATGTGAGAAGGTCCCTCCAGAAGAGAAGCCGATGGATGTGAAGTATGAAATTTCCTCCTGTTTCTCTGTTTCATATCGACAAACACATTAAAAAAAAAAAAAAAAATTAACTGAATCTTTAGATCCGTCGTTGAACACAAGAAGAAGGAAAAAGGTGAGATGAAAGTTAAAGCAGTACTGGTACTAATAATTTGTCATCGCAGGAATGCAAATCCTAAGCCAGGAGAGGACAACAGCTTGAAGACTAGAAGAGAAAACTCGCTCAATGCGCAACTCATCTCGCAAAAGTCAAGAACACTGAAGTGGGAAATCCAGCAACACAAAGCAGTGCAGGTATCGAGTTCTCCGCGTACAAGCTGTAATCAATTTTGTTTCTTATGAACGCTTCGATGGCACAGGTATGGGATTGGTTATTCAAAGCTTGCGAGGTAAATGGTAGGATACTGCTTCGTGATGGCCTGATAAATATCCAGGAAATTGAAGAATGCCTTGTTAAGGCTAATTGTAAGAAGCTGAGCATCAAATTACCTACTTGGTCCGTACTACATTGTCTGCTTGTATCTGCGAAGTCTGACTCATCTGGGCTGGTGATCTGTATGTCTTTTCTAAACCTTTTGTCCTAGCTTGATTGATGCTATTTTACAGTGCTAGTCATGATCATAATAGCAATTGAATCTTGCAGCTGATGATGTAGAGTTGGCAAGAAACAATGGACCAAGGGAAAAGGTGTTTGAGTGGTTAATCGAACCGTTATTAATTATGAAAGAGCAAATAAAGAATCTGAAAGTAGAAGAAAATGAAGAAACCTGTCTGAAAAGGCTGGTTATTGAGTGCGAAAACAAGAGGCCCGAGGAGTGGGATGGAACTGGATTTCCATCCAATGACAATGTCAGAAGGGCACAGCTGCAAGCCATTATCAGAAGGTATGTTTTTAAATTGTGTATCCAACTGAGAGGTAGAACACAACCTTTTCTGGGTTAAACTGCACTGGATTCTTGTTATTATAATGAGGGCAGCCTAGACCAGAATCCTCTAGACTAAATAGAGCTCGAAAAGTAGATATTATCCTCCTAACCCATTATGGATTTAATCCTCAACAGATTGCAGGGGATTGTAGCTTCCATGTCCCGGTTTCCGACCTTCCCGCGTCGCTTTAGGAACATGATGAAGGTTTTGTACGCAGAGGCAATTCAGGCTGGTGCTTCAGCCAGTCATATTGGAGTAGCATTAAAATCCAAATACACTAGCAAGAGCTTGATTGGGTCTGGGAGTAGAGAAGGTAGAAATGAAACTGATGAGGTAATTAATGAGGCATATGATAGCGGGGATGTAGTATGAGTTGGCTTTTGTAAGATGTGTGTTTTTCTTTCTCTCTTTGGATGTTGGACTTGTGCCGATAGTACCTTTAATCCTCCGTTAAATGTCTGTTGAACGAGAGGTCTCTCTTGGTTCAGAACAGCGAGAAAATCAAAATCTGCACTCGCTTAAAAATCCCAAGCACTCTTTCGGACTGGATAGTGCACCAACCCTGAAACATCTTTTGTGGCATGGAATCTCTCAAAACAAGATCATGACTCGGAAAGCTTTTCCAACGCCCAAGTGACAAGCATTTTCACACAAGGATGAGAATGTTATCACATCCAAAGCTGGAGGGAGTCGAAAGAGTTTCAAATTCAAACATAACTCTGAATGTTATTTAACACCAAGGAACATTTCTATCTTAGATAAACTATGAGGGCTCTGCCCTTTCTAGTTCTTTTGATCAATAAGAATTTCATACACCAAAAAATTTTAAAAAAAAATAAATAAAAGAAAACATAGACATATGACGGGAACAATAATAAATGAGAAAAACCAGACACTGATATCACCTTCCGAAACATCTCAGTATTGATGCGGTAAGAGTTGAAGAAAGAAACTTCAGCCCAGTTGATCCTCCAGGGAAATAAGAAATGGCATAATACGATAGAGCGAGGACCTAGCAAAGTTTTAAAAAGGCTTAAGTTTCTCAAGAATTATTACTCCAGTGACTACAATGAAAAGAAATGAAGAAATTGATATCTATGGTTTGAGAGGGCAATGTTGCCCTGGTGCATAATCTGAGGTATTTCAAACGAGTAAATACAAACACCATAATTCCATGGATCCGAAAAATCACAGATTCACCCAACAGGAATACGCAAAGCCTATTGATATTCTACAAATCATAAACTGCCACTAGTGGAAAAACAATAACTCAATTGGCATGCCAGACACCTGACAAGACACTACTACAATTCAACAAAGAAATGGGACAAAAAAATTGTACCTTTCTTTTTAATTTAGAAAAATAATGGTAAAAAGTAAACAATAGTAGCAAAACTCAGGTTTTACGCCACATACAGAATCTTTACTTAGATAACTAGGGGATCAAAACTGAAACAAAGAAAAAACAGGAGTCCTTTTAAAAAAAATAAAGAAAGAAAATGGTGTCGACACCTTTTGCTTAATGTTACCTTAGTATATTTTCAAATTTCCTTTTAGTTCCCTTTATTTTTGCAATTAAACAATTTAGTTCAGTCCCTGAGTTGTTAGAGAAAGGACAGAGAAAATTATGAGAAAATAGTGGATGATCAAGAAAAACATTGATTGGTTAGAATCTGATGACAAAAAAATCAAATTTGGTATCAAAGTGTCCGAGAGGAGTCATTGAGATGGTTTTGGACTATCAAATTGCCAAAAAAAATAAATCAATGTTGTGAGATTTTTTCACCATTTGATTTGTTTTTAACCAATTTTGAGTTTTTTGAATTGAGGAATTAATTTTTTAAGGTTATAAGAGTGTTTTTATGTGAAAATCAGTTAAAATCAGGTTTTTGACTAAAAAAATACCTATCAAGATTTTTCAATCACCTCTATGATGGCTAGAAACTGGATATTTAGAGTAAATGTCATCTATTTTTTTAAAAAAATAAAATAAAATTAACAAACAACATGTCATCCACCTATTTAAATAATAAAAAAATATCATACACTGGCATGTTCTGCTAGGCTTGAATTTTAGCCGGTTGGGCATGATGGGCCTTCTAGGCTCACACTCTTGGCTCTTTTGCATTTATTTTTATATTTTTTTTATAAAATAGGTTAAAATTAGGTTTTTAAGTAAAAACAATATCTATCCTGATTTGTTTATAACCACTATGATGGCTAGAAACTAGGTTTGCAGAAAAAGTGTGGTTTATTTTTTATTTTTTTGTTCAATAATTAGACATGCCAGTGACCTTTAAATACCAAATAATATCAAGCTCATGCACACAGGCTTGTTCTGCCAGGGCCACACGCTAGGTTTGAATTTTAGTGGGTCGGGCATGTTAGGCCTCCTAAGCCCGCACTGCTGGTCCTATGCTTTTATTTTTGTATTTTTTTCATTTTAAGATTATTTTAATTTGAAATTAAATAACTAAATATAGATATTACATTATTACTTTATCGAGTTGGGAAATTAATTAAGAATACATTTGAGTTATTATTTTTTAAAATACCATTAAAACTATGTTTTCAAAAAAAGATTATAGTTATCTTTTTTTTTTAATTATATCAAACATTTTTTTATCCAATCCATCATATTTAAATTATTTTAAAAAAAATTAATCTTTTATGCGAGCATCTATTTTTATTATCATATAAAAAATAAAAAATAATTGCCAACTAGTCCTTGTATTTGAAAGTCCTTGTATTTCTTGTATTTGAAAGGTGAACACAAATTGACCTACGTCGATCGACTATCCACCGTGTCATTGTTTTAGTATTTAAAAAACAAAAGCAACTGCATTTGAAATTTCTTTTAATTTTATTATGTTAAAAAACAGATTAGCAATGACTGCACATTTTTTTTTATCCTTGTTCAGCGATTACTTCGATGAAACTTCTCTTGCACATTAAAAGGTAGCGCGGGTAACCTATCTAGTACGAACTATTCAAGTTTTACACCAGATGTTACTCAGATACCTAGGTGAGCTATCTGCCAAGCACATGAGTAGACTATAAAGAAATTCAAAGTACCACACAGGAATTTGAAGTTGGTACCTGTAACACGGAGAAGAGCACAGAAAGGATGTAACTGTGAAGCACCATAGAAACATATACAGTTCCTACCATGGTACTGATAAATCCCAAAGTGAAAGGGAGCCTCTGTAAATAAGAAGGAAAGCAAGGAGCCTAAATATCTCATTGACAAGAAACATTCAACAACTTTAAGCCATGCAATAAAACATAACTCAAATGTTTCTGTAAGTGATTCATTAACTAATACGAGCATTGGTCAGGGAAATAAAATAAAGTAAAATAAAATACAATACCTCTTTAGAAAACATGTGGGCAAGCTGATTCTTAGGGCCTTTGAGTGCAAAGAATGAAGCAACGATTAAGGCACAACCAATAGTAAAGCAGATTGCGAATTTCTGAGGCACCAACACCATGACAGGAAGGAACATGGTGAATGCAATAAAGACAAAGAACACTCCAGCAGCAAGTAGTATACCAAAGTACACGAAAGATTGTCCAGAAGGAACATTGATAGTGGAAGACTGAAAACTCCCGGGTATATCCCTGACTCCTTTCGAAACTCTGAAGTTGAACAAAAAATACTTAGACTTAAACGTTCTTGTATTTATGATAGTAATCAATCATGAGGAAATAAATACCAATAAAGCCATGGACCAACTCAAAAATCAGTTTCCAATTCAAGCTTGCAGGAAAATAATAATCCGATGAAAATAGTTTCATCACGCATGAAAATAGTTTTCGTAATTTTTTCTCTCTTCCTGATTTTACCTTTAATTAGAACTTAAACTCATTTCACCAACACCATGTTACATGCCTAGTCACTAGGAATGGATGCATAGTCACTAGGAATGGATGCAGTATATGGAAAGAAGAAGCTACAGGTGGTGCAAGATTGGTAACGTCTGCAACACACAATAAAAGGGTGGTTAATTCTGTTAGTTGTTAGCCATAGTTAGTTAGCATATGGTTACAGCTGTTATAGTTAGTTAGAGCAGTCAGTTAGTCGTTATCTTCAGTTACTATAAAACCATGATCAAGGGTATCGGTTGAATAAAACAAATATAGAATACAGTCAATTCAGTCTCATCTCTTCTCCCTTGAATTCTCCCTATCAAATCCTCTGTTCTTAACCTCACTTCTTCTTCATTTGTTAAGAAACCTTAACAATTAGTCAAATCCTCTGTTCTTAACCTTACTTCTTCCTCATTTGTTAAGAAACCTTAACAATTGGTATTAGAGCTCTAAAATCCAATCAAGATGGTTGAAAAATGTTGAAGAACGTTGCAAGAGGTTGGATGAAAGAATGCAAAGCCTTCACCAGGAATTTCATGAATCAATGGCTGACCAACAAAGCAAGTGGCAAGAACAATGGGTGGAGCAAAACAAGAGAACTGATCAAATCAGTTTGCAGATTGAAACATTATCAAATCAGTTCCAATCATTTCTTGCTACTCAGATGGTAGGAAGAGAAGTTGGAGCCAACTCTAGAGGAATCTTGAATACTCCAACAACGGGAAAAAAAAATGGTACTCACAGCAATCAAGAAAGAATATTGCAAGGATCCAGGAACGTACAGGAACGTCAAATAAATAATCAAGAAATTCAAAACTTTAGAGCTGAATACAAGAGACAATGGCAGGAGCAAAACAGAAAGCTTGATCAAATCGGATCAAAATTGGAGGTTTTAATGGCCCTGCTAAGAACATACTCAGAGAGCCAAGAAGTTGAAAGAGCTAGCATAATTTCTGATGGGAAAGAACAGAATAGTAAAGAGGCTATACTTTACAACCACTCAATTCCATTTTTTTGATCAAGAATCCAATATCACAGCTTCTTTCTCAACAAGCCTTGGAGGGTTAGTGATGTGTCTTAGATCGTAAGAAAGGAAAATAAGAGAGTCCGAGTTTTACAGGTATGAAGAAAGGCATTATAAAGATTTGAAGAAGGAAAGAATTAGAGTTAGAGTTTCAGGTTCATTTTACAAATGCCGCTATTGTCATGGGAGAGATTACTATCCCTGGGATTTTCTCCAGCATGCTTATGATCTTGGTAGAGGCTCAAAAAGAGGGACTCTAAAAGAGGAAGCTCAACACCTAGCTCTTGCAAGGTATATTCAGAGGCATCTTGATGTGAAGGATAGATTAGAGTCCTCTTTGAAAAGAGCAGTTGTTTGTTCCCTCTACCTAAACGCCAAAACTGAATGGCATGCTGTCCATGATCATGATAAAGAACACCTTAGAGAGGACACCTGAATCATGAGCCTAAAAGTAGAGCTAATGACAGCTTTCATTGCCTTGATTCTTGAGGATTGTTACGAACCTTGGGTTTAGAAAGAAGTGGTTGCAGGCTTAGTTCAGCGGTTAAATTCGTTCCCTGAAGATACTACGTGGGAGGAGTTGACAGAGCTGCAGTTGCAATTCCCAGATTTCAGTGTTGATACGTGAATTATTTCAGCTATAGATTCTTGGGACAAGAATCTTTTCATGGAGGGGATACTGTTATGTACCTAGTCACTAGGAATGGATGCAGTATATGGAAAGAAGAAGCTAAAGGTGGTGCAAGATTGGTAACGTCTACAACATGCAACAAGGAGGTGATCCTTTTCATGGAGGGGTATTGTTATGTACCTAGTCACTAGGAATGGATGAAGTATATGGAAAGAAGAAGCTAAAGGTGGTGCAAGATTGGTAATGTGTGCAACACGCAACAAGGACGTGATTAATTCTGTTAGTTGTTAGCCATAGTTA